TGTGTGCGCCACGGTGTGCTTGCGTGCAATCATGTGCACGCGTGTTTTTGCTCGGGCCGAGCAATGGCCAGTCTTTTATTCGTACAACCCAAGTCTGAGTCGTAGTAGACCCCATCTCCATCAGATTTATGTCTTAGTAGTTAGTTATTGACCTTGAGACTTAATGGCATCTTCAATGAGTCGTGTTCATGAGGCGGAGCCCGGTCAAATTCTCACAGGGTTCACCATGGAGAAACTGTCGCCTACAATCTAATAATATATAAACATATATTCATAAATACGTATGTTGATGAAATACAATATAATCCCCGATTATTCATCAACCTCGAGCGCTGATTTGGAAAATATCAACGATTTTTCCAAATGATTCCCTACTAGAAAATGGTATAGGATTATGATCAACGACCTGCTGATCCAGGAAATTCCTAGGACAAGTGCCCAGTTGATTGACTAGGACGATATGCGGACACGGGAACTGCGCTTTTCACTCCACCACATTGACATCATTTGGACAACTGGTGTTCAAATTTTGTAGTCAAGTTGTCTTAATGGCATAAAAACTTAATGGCTGTCACTCATCCATGGACAAGAAGTATGACAATTCCAGCTGTCCAAAGTAGCGTTTAGCTCAACTAGGGCGAGTCGGCGTCAGCTGATGTAACAGTTGCACGTATATACAAAGGCTTTTTGTGCGCCCTAGTCAAGCTTTAGTTAAGACTCAACTCAAGCACTCAACAATATTGTACTTGCATGCACGACAATGCGAAAATGGATATGTCTTACGCCGATAGGTCATTTACGCACGCAGAACCTATGACGGCATATGCAACGCAGGATCTGAGAAGTCATAGCAATATCAAATCGATGATTTGCGTTATATCGACTGTTCGGTATGTGTAAATTGACTCCGTTCGGCCACCACTAGCTGCATTTGTTGTCAGGCTGTGCGGCCCAGCTGGAGCGAGTAGACAGATACATGTATATGGCGAACGTGAGAGTCTAAGCTTAGTTCACGTGTGTATCTGTCTTTGGAGATTACCGTTGGCCAGAGTCACTAGTATCGGCTACCTCCAATCGATGACTTCGAGTTGACACGCCCACAAACTTTGTCCACTCCGTACAATAATGCTGTCTACTTCTCCATGGCTCCACAGTGGAGCTTCCGCGCGGGAATTTGAACATGCGTGCTGCCGTAGTTCGTGGTATTCTACCTAAGCTGAATGTCGTCCCGAATCGGGATTCCCGATCTCAGTCTCACAACCGAACACTCGTCTACTATCCGTTGCCATTTCACTCTGACAGCTTATCAACCTTCCGACTATGGTTAAAATCCTCTCCGCGTTGATTGGCATTCTCGGCGTCTTTCAAGCTGCGGGTGTTCCTCCTGTGCCATGGATTTCCGATTGTGATTTTGGGTATTGCGACGATGATTGTGATCGTACAAGATGCTACTGTAGACTGTACGATCGCTACGAAGGATGCATATGTGCGTGCTTTAAATAGAATGAGTAGGCTCAATGTGGATCTGATATTTGTGATAATCATTGGAAGACTCAATGCAATGGTTAATGAGATACAATTTTTCAATCTACCAGTAATGCTTCCGACGTCACCGACGAGCTTTACGCCAAGGCTAAGATTTCTGAGTTTTGCACTGGGCACAAGTCCCTGCCTAGAGGTTCACTCTCCGCTGCTGGCTGGCTGGGCGTCGGTTGTACTCTTAGACTTCATTTCAGTGTTTTGATCGTTGACTTTTTCATCGCATTATTGTTATCATCTGGATAGATAGTGTTGGGTTGGTCAGCTTTTGCATATACGCTGATTATCAGCTGCTGATAACGTACATGCCACATATCATATGAAGATATTCACGAACACATATATTGATGAAATATACTCCTGACGAATAATTTCTGATTATTTATCCACCGTGGGTACTAGTTTGGACAACATCAAGGATTTGCCCAAACGGCTTCCAAGGACATCTGTCCACTCATCTGGACTCCAGATTAACAAGGATAATGGACAAGAACCTGACTTTCACATTGTCGACGTTCATAATATGAACTTCATATCACACACTCATCTGAGGAAGTTTCTGTCCGAAGTAATCGCCTGCCGATGAAATTCATACAGTTCCGGCTCTGGCGAAGGAGAAAGCATTTTCAAGAAATGCCCTCAAGGGTAGTATGCGGCATACTGTATGCCGGTCTATGACCTTTTCGGACACCCAAAACGTCTAAACTCACGGGAAAATAGAAACCACTGGTTTCTAACCAGGCGAAGGTTGTACTACACGTAGTGGATATTATTGTCGTAGATTCTTGCAAGACAATCGACGAGGCCGAGCAGACCCGTTCACAACCTCTGTCTACTACGCACATTAACGCTATCTTCTTCCCGATGGTTCCACATTGTGGAATCCATAATGGAACTCCCACTACAGTGCGTGAATTTGAACATGCGTGCCGCCGTAACTCATGGTACTCCACCTGAGCTGAGTGACATCCTGTTAGTAGTAACACCCGCACTGGTTGACACAGCATGGCTCGGTGGTATTGGATCGCCGGGCCGGCTCGAGATGCGTAGCGTTCCGAAACGGCAAGGTGGTCCATTCTGCGTATTGGAGACTACCAGACTTCGCCTCGATCACTGAGTGTGAACTCCACGCGATCGAGCAAGGTGTCAAATGGGTAATAAGGAACGCCCAAAACGGGGAATGCTGGCAGACCTTTACGGACTCCCAAGCAGCACTGAATATATTGAACTGCAGGGCTCGAACTCAGAAATGGGAAAAGGCCAGGCAGATCACCCTGTTGCTTAAAGGCAACACCGACCGAGTAAGATTACACTGGGTCCCGGGGCACTCCGAGGTAGAGGGCAACGAGATAGCCGACCAGCTAGCGACCTCAGGCGGTAACCTCGCTGAGGTGAATGCCGAAGGATGCGTTAGTGGAAGGACACTAGCTCGATACCTAAAGGAGCAACAGCGCATAGCCATCAGATTCTGGTGGTCTACTGAGCGCACCCGTCTGGGAACTGCCATCAAGGAATTCTTCTTCTGTGCATATCACGCGTCACTGTGGATCCACCGAGAGGTCACTCCGGCAGCCAGTGCTATAGTATTTGGCAGGGCTATGACCCCTGCCCTACGGTTCCGCTGCGGCTTAGCTCCCTCTCCAGAGTGCAGCTGCGGCGCGGCGGTTGGAGACATTCGACACTACCTCCGATCCTGCCCTTTTCTGGAGCCCGCCAGGGAGAGGATCCCAGGTGGAGTCCCAAACCACCTTTACAAGATTATCACAGATTTGAAGCGCCGCAAGGCCTTCAATCGCCTGTGCAAGTCCATTATGGAACATCTGGATGCCCTGCACAGGCACGTTTAGCGACTATTAGGGAGAGAGCCTCGTCAGCAATGACTTGAGGCCCTCCCGTTTCTTTCACCTTTGGGAGAGAGACTCGTCAGCAATGACTCGAGGCCCTCCCTCTTTTGGTATGTATTGCGTGTGTCCCCGCTATGGGGAATCCCGCCCCTCTGTTTAATTAATTAACGTGATTAGATCTCGTCGTAGCACCCTCAGGTTGCAATGACGAAGCTCTTGGGACAGAGGTCGTTTGAACGAGAAGAAGTCGATCGAAGGCCTCCACCTCCTTAAGAGCAGAGAAACGTGATGATCCAATCATGTATTGCTTGTATGATAAGGAACGTTTCAATCGGTTGACACAGCAACACTCAGGAAAGCCATGATTGATAATAAGGCTTCTTATCTTTCCATTTCAGCCTGAGCGAACCGTTACATTATTCATGTAACGAATAATGGGCGAGCGAGATTCGTGCATACGTGCGCGAAGTTCGCGCCCCGAATACCAGTAAAACTCTGACTACGATCTCGCTAACTCGCGGTAAGAACAGTGGGGAAGCGACGCAAGCAAACGAGCTCCGCAGACTGAGGGGTGTGAACGCCAAAAGAGACGAAGCACCACGAAGGCTCACCCCAGGGAGGGATGGGCGGGTCAACGAAACAATTCTGGTTGGAGACCTAGAGTCCACCAACCTCGGGGAACCTAGAGCACCCGAGATAGGGCTAGACACGTAGCCCTATCCGGGTCCACGTCACGTGACACGAGAGATGCACGCAAGTGCATCGCGAAGCGAGATCGCGCACGTTTAACACCGAGAAACAGAGTTTATCGGAATAAAAAAACGAATGCTCATCTGCTCCTCATATCCAATTCACTTCGACAGCTTATTAACCCTTCGGCCATGGTTAAAATCCTCTGTATGTTGATTGCCATCCTCGACGTCTTCCAGGCTGAGGATACTCAGCCGCACCTCCGTGCACTGAAGAATTCTCCTTGCGCTCCGTCGGCTTGCGGATCTGGTTGTGATCCTAAGGTCTGCACCTGCACTGGTGACTTCTTATCGCCTTGTACTTGCTTATGCTATTCGTGAGCGAGTCCATTCATTGTGGATCCGTAAATCATTATGGGACTCCAGGCAATAGTCAATGGCATACAGATATCTACCCTACCATTCATAGTTATAAAATCGTCAATATGCTTCGAACCGAGACTCCCGAATTGGCATGAATCCATGCATAAGGGTTCATTTTTTATTGCTGACTCGCTGTCGTTCAAGTCTCTAGCTCCATCCACGAATTGTTTATTGATTTTTGATTGTCTCATCATCACATCGTCATTAACTGGACAGATAGTGTTGGGTTGACCATGGAGTAACTTCCACATTTCTTCGTTAGTATTAACCGTGAGTATTCATCAACCGTTAGTATTAATTTGGACAGAAATGATTTCCGAGAATATTTTTACAGATGATTGCGTAGGGGCGTGTGTTGTAGTCGTGAATGGATGAACTCTGTCTACTCAGTAGACTCTACTGCGCACAATCATGCTGTCTCCATTTCAATGGTTCCACAACATGTGTGGACATGAAAATTGGGCGTCCCGCTCACACACAATGCATTATTTGGACAACTGGTGTTCAAATGTGTTCCGAATGTGAATTTCAACTTTCATTTCGTGAAAAAATCCTTTCACTCAAATTCAGCAATTGAAAGAACAAATTAGACAGATGAAATTTGATTTTCGATAAGGTGTAGATAGGATATCGCTTACTTTCCTGGAGTGCGTATCAATAATAACCAATTCGGCTTCAGGCGAAACATAATCTCCTTACATTGTAAGTTCCTGTCGATGTCGACAAGCGTCAATCAAGCGTATTGATACTGCTACAACATATTCGACATGAAATTCAAATATACTTCTCTACTCATTCGCCTTAAGGCTCTTGAGTCGACCGATGTCCCGACCGAATCTCTAAAACTGTGCCAGGGACACGTGACACAACAATTCGCTTTAGCGTTGGAAAAAGCGAAATAAAAATCGCTTCGCTCCGCCGTTCCTGACAATTTTGTGCTCCATGTCCGTGACGATATTTTCAAAGCTTTCTAGCCTTGCTGACGCTACAGAAGGGGAAGGTGTGATGCTGATGATATAATAGCAAGAGACAAACGAATGAATAAAGTGTTCTCCTCTTTTTACAGATTTGTTCGTTTTCCTTCAAACAGATTGGAAAATGGCCACAACTGTCGAGACGCCTAACACTACCCCCGCAGCCCCTGTCGTAGCAGCTGAAGTCCCTAAAAAGGAAGCTACTTGCTCTAGGGGAAGCTGGTCTGTGTTTACATGGGAGAACCCGATGCCCTCAGGTGAGCTATTCATGGTGTTTTTCATTCAATCCATTGCTTCCTTTTCTCAGGCATGTTGTATACAATGTTGAACGTTGGTATTCTGATATCAACTACTGAGGACCCCTCTGGCTGGGCCGTCGCCTTCCTCATGTGGATTGCGATTCCTGCTGGACTACTATTCAAGTTCAACGTGGTTCCTGTTCCTACATGTTGTCCCTTGAAAGCTGTCGCGGGTCTCGACCCTGAAAAGTAGTTTCCACTGACTTTGCATTATTTCATGTTTGTTTTCAGACTGCTGCTAGCGTTCATAAGCAGTGACTTCCTTCGTCACGGAGTTGTCTGATATTT